ATTTGTCTGTTGCCGGATAACAGGCACGGAAGTTATTTTGTTTTTGGCCGAGTGTGGCTGTAATGAATTAGAAAAGCGTTTGACCTGTTTTAATCGTGTTAACCCTTTCTACGATACCTCAGTACCTTTATGCTGCCTCAGTGCCTGCTTTACTCTGAATGAACATCAGTCCACGCCTAGTACCCAGGGGTTTTCTATCCTGGCTGGTCATGACGTCAAGAATATTTGTGACGGCGCACGACTAACTCGTTTCCAGGATCTTGCTCGCCAAAGAGAAAATGCCAAGGGTCTAGGCCGGACATTAATAAAATCTTGCATAGGGAATGTGAAGTGTCTGTTCAAAAGGGATTTTTAAAATTTATTTTATTGTTATTATTTTTTTTCGAGGCTTAGGACCTTAACTTTTAAATGTACTTCAAGGGGAGCTCTTTAATTCTTAAATACTGTAGTAACACTCAAATGGCAAAATGAAGAGTGTATCATTTCCTTAACGCTATTCCCAGTCGGGGTAACAAGTGCCGGATTAAAATCCCTCGAGCCGTCCACGATAATAACAGTCATTGAAGCTTTAATCGATTTGACCCACCAACCAACGAGGCAGCAGAATCATTCTGCCTTGAGCTGACCGATGTGTTGACCCACTTGTGTTGTAAGTGTGCCTTCTTTAACAAGACTTAATTATCGCATGTTCAACTGAATAACACCTGTTCTATGCAACATAATGCATGCTGGTGAGGCAGTTTTCGGTGACTGTTCTCGTTAGCTTAATGGCACTTCTTTCCCCGATTGCAGCTAATGAAGGGTATGGGGTGGGGGAGGGGGGGGTTGTAGGGGACATTGGAAAGATTTGTTTTCAGTCCACTGAGGTGACTGAAAATCGGTCATTAATGGAAGAGAACTGGGAACTAAAATTCTGGACAAGCTTACTATAGTTCATTTTCTTCCCCTCAAGAAATAACCTTCTATTAAGTTTTAATTTCTTGAAATATCTTTTCAACAGTTGCAACAGTTGTAACTCGTCCCCAAGCTCCTTCCTATCACATGAGGAAGGACAGGGGACTGAAGCGTCCTGGACACGACTCTGTAGGGTGTCATGTTCAGTTCATTGAAAAAAATCCTAGACGAGCAACTTTCTATCTGTATGTGACACAAAGGAATTGCGTTTCTTTTACCTTCAGAAACTACGTATTTAAAAGCTGTACACTAGTTGATCTTTACTTCTTTTGATTTCTACGGCTGCACTGTGAATGCAAGACGAAGGACAGATGCAAATACTGTAATATTGACAGGTTAAAATTGACCGTATAAATCAAACTTAGCTGGGCATTCACGCTGGTCCTCTTTTGAACACAGAGTAAAGTAGAGGAAGAGGATCCTTAGTGTTTTAGTGTTTGCCATCAACAAGCGCTGCGATTTTGATTTTCCCTTATGGTTGTCGTTATCTCGTAGTATTGCAGTAGAACTCGGCTGTCTCGAACTCAAACCAATCTTGGACATACTTTTTCAGTCACTATCAGCTATCTCGAACCTCGCCATTCGTTTCCCCCTTAACTTCAGAGTTCGAGGTAGCGGAGTTTTCATCGCATCCTAAATCGTTACAGAAAGTATGGAGCTTTTTTCAAGTGCACTGTAACCTCGCAAAGTAGGCGTCCAACCGTTGTCCGTTGCACCTTGCCTATTTTGGTGAATTTCTCCTGCCTAGAAACATCACAAATTTAATAAAGCACTAACCGTATGTGTAGGGCAAACAAGTGTTGTCACTGTTTCAAGACTACTGTAACTGTTAAATTATAATTAATACCCGCAAGCGCGGGCACGAGCTATTTACATTTTTTTTTTTACAATAACCCAAATACCTGGTTACACCGTTTCCTACAATAAATCTCTTCACTTCGGTCACAGTAGTTAAAACCAGCCTCGATTGTGGCGTCTACCTACGACAAAACTAAAATACATACCAGTTACGCAACGCTTTCGAGTGGTATACCACGCATAGGCGTGCGGACAACTTCGGACTTGGGGGTGCGGTGACCTTATTGCCCGAAAAATTTACGCAATGCCCGAATGCGTGAGTGTTGAAATAGGGATGCAAACGCAGTCAAACTGAATGAAAAACAAAAACGTTCACAATTCCCACATCTAATGAAACTGCTATAATTCCAAAACTAATTATATTCAAAGCTTACAGAATCAATCAATCAAACTGATCATACTCTATCATGATCTATCACCAGTCTCAATCCGAGTAAAATCTAAAACTTATTAAAAAGAAAAGTTGTAAAAAGGTAACCAACTACAGTCGAACCTCCCGTGGTCGCTTACGAGAGCTTAGACCAAAATGGGTCAAAATTTTTC